AGGTGCAAATTACAAGCTGGTGGAGTGAAAGAGGAGGGAGGTGGAGCAGTGTATCACTTCGGTCTGGGAGAATAGAGAGCCATGTTTAACAGTCACTGGAACAGCATGGGGGAGAGCTCCTCTGGGAATTTACTTTCACTTCAAAAAATGTCTTTTTCCCCAAGTCGTGAAATTCAGGAATTGATGTACATGCTAAGAAAATAGTGGCAATTGTAATTTGTTTCATGCCATGTGAAAATGTTATGTAAATATATTGTGACCTATTAGATTATGGCTAAGTTGTTTACATTTATTCTTTACTAGCTGAATGAAATCATATCTCTATACATTGCATTAATAAAAAATAAAAGGTAGATAAAAGATTACAAATAGGAAACTTTATAATATACAAAGCTTCCTAAGAAGTAGCAAATTAAGCAGCTCTGCACCTCTCTTGATAGAAAATGGGGCAACCTATTTAAATCCTGTACTATTCTAGAAGCTTATATAGATACTCAATAAGTAAATCTTACTTTAGATACTTTGGATTCAAGTTGCAAGACTACAAATAACTAGTCTGTAGTTTTGATAACTATCAAAACTAGTGCTGTAAACAATTCGTTGATAGATACCTGTTCAGTTTGGTATTTGCCTGCAGACTGTAATTAACAGTTCAGCATTTTTCTTTTAACTGCATGCTCTCTACCCATAAGTAGGCATAATTACCACTAATCAAGACCCCTAATCTCAGGCAATTATAAGCTCTTACATTGTTCTAATTGAACATTTAAAAACAATGTGTTTTCTCATATAATTATGTTATAATCCATACAATTATTAATTTCTGCTTTTCTTTTTATCTGATCAATGTTAATTTTGTGTGACCTCACAACATGTTATCTGAAAAATGCCTTTGAGGCATGCAGTTTTTCTGGTTAATTTATGGCTATGTTTCGTCTTCAGTGAGAAGTGATATAGTGCAACAGGTTTTCAAGGCTGTGCTTTCTCTCACCCATCTATGAACTCCATAATTTGTTGTAAACTAGGAACTTGTTAGTGAAACGAAAGTGCAATTATACATTTAAATCATCTACTATTTGTAAATCCAGGTGCTTTCTCTTTGAATAGTACTTAGGTTAGCACAGGCTACTCCTTAAGTATGTACAAGGGGTTTGTTTTGGTTTTTTAATTGTGGAACTTATATGCAGACAGACAGACTTTCTGGATCAGCTTTCCAGAAAGTGAGAATGAAAGCAGTTCAGTTTCAGAAGGCACTGCAAGTCTTGGGGGCAAGATGTAAGAGGTTGTTCACTAGTTGATGTTGGTCTCACTTGTTGCTATGTAGTCCTTATGCACATATTTTGTATGCAAGGGTTTTGGATGAGTGCATTTTGAACAAAACATCATCAATCTGATGATTCATCTCAGGAACCGCATGCAGCACTTACATCTGTAATTGGGGTAATTGCAAACCTCTCATTCTTACAGATAGAAATTCTTCCTCTTATAATTCTAAAATCAGATCCCAGATCTTTTATTGTGGTAGCTGAGACCTACACTGACTTTTATTTATTTCTCTATTCTTATTTGTTACATCATTAAAAGTAGCAGATGATTTGGCGACCTTTCCAACCTGTGTCTGACCTTCATGATTCATTTATGTGGATAATTGGCTATTGAAATTACTATGCTTTTATCTTTGACGTTATTTAAACACTGGTTTAAATGGGGTGACACAGGCTGCATTGTAAATGGGTAGCCACATTGTTGGGGACAATGTGTTTTTCTTTATCTGTTGTCAGAAAAGAATATTAATGTTGGGGGGGCTCTATCTTTTCGGAGGGATCTTGACATTCATGGAGAGCAGGTGTTTGCTGTCTGCTTGACGTGCTGCAGCTTTGTATGCAGTGTTAGAACAGGCTATTGCTTGTTCTGCAGAAGAAATTTTCTCTTTGGTTGTTGTGTAGGCATGGTCGCTACAGGCTTGTTCCTGGACACAGTTCCTCAAAAATCACCGCACTGCCTCCATCCAGCTGATGCATCCAAGGAAGCTCCTGGAGTCAGATTAATTTGTGACCTTTCTGCATGGTGCACTTGTGTCTTTGCTTGAGTCAAATCCATCCCACACAAGGACATTTCCCCCTCCCACCCTCCTACACCTCTTAAAATACTTTTCCTTAATTCCTGTGTCCCCTGCACATAGGACTGCTAAGGAGTGGATAGATTCTATAGAGTCTGTAGGGCAACACCACAAGCTCTGGCCAAGGGCTCCACGGACCTTTGGATGTTGGCATATGACCTGCACTGTTGCTGTTGCAAGGCAGTGGTCTAATGTCAGTGTTCTATCAGTCTTAAAACACGGATTTGGAGATATTGCTCTGTCATAAATTGCCCAACTTTCTTTCTGTAGTAGAGTGTGTGTTTCTGAAATCTTTCTGGGGCTGCAGTGTAGTGCAGTGGGTTCACTTCATTATTCCTTTGAAAAGAAGGAAAGGCACACAGCTATTTCTATGCAGATGAGGTCAATGTTTAATATGCTAAAGTATCTACCCAATATTAGGCTGCAAAAATCCTTGGCTTTAATGTGTCTTTAATAGTAATAAAGTGGTTAGCTAGTGATAAATTAAGGATTGTAAGTTTTGGGGATTTTTTTTTTAAATAAAAAATTAGTGTAGGCAGGAATAATTTTTCTTGCCAAGATAATTGCCATACTGGGGCATAGTAACTGCAATTTGCAGTGGAAATTGCTCTGGGACTGCTCACCTCATAATAATAAAAATGAAGAACCAAATTTCTGGTTTTTCTTTAGGCTTCATGTAGCTGGACAGTAATGGGACAGAGTGGGGACTCCATTTTACCTTTGCTGGCATAGAGCTATACATCCCAAGATACTGAACCAGCAGGTCTCACTGTTTGCCAGAAAGCAAGAGAGAGTTTTATGCACACAAGCATGGTTGCCCAGAAATCTACAGATAAGAATTTGCTTGTGACCCTCTTCCTAATCTGTCACCTATTTTCAGCGTTATACTGGCTGGCAGAATAACGATGTTTGTGGATGCCTTGTGCTGATGCAGTGTCCTGCCAGTGGGACTTCACAGTTTTGGAGGCCCTGTGTTCAGTTTCTCTTAGGGAACCTGGTGGAAGTCCGTGTAAGTAGGGCCTAAGGTAGCAATATTGTAGGGCTGTGTTTGCATCTGCATAACAGAGAGCAAAACAGGACGTAGTTAGGGAAAGGTAATGCTGTCCAAATATAAAATACTCATGGATTATGGAGTATTTATAGTAAATCTGTTTTTTAAAGGATTTCTTCATTCTTCAGTACTCATTGCATCAGACTTCCCAGTATGGTTTAGCTCAGGCACAAGTTAAGGTTAAACAGAGAAATAATCTATACCTTTCTGGTCACTGGATTCCTATTCATACTCTCCACTTCTTTTTAAACTGAGTTTGCACATTTTTATATATATTTTTGTACCGGTCTGTACAGAGGGGTAGTTGGAAAAGAGAGAGTTGGTCTCTACAGGAACTCATAAAAAGAAAAGTCATACAGCGTCAAGAAGGAATTCTGTAGAGAATCAGCAGTGTAAAGGCCTTGAGCAAGTCTAAATTTAAATCGCATCTCTCTGATCAGGGAAAAGACAGTCCTGTAAGTTTCTCTTGCACATTATCAAAGGTTTTTTGTTGGTCATAAAACCCTAAAGCATCTTAGTTGGCTTAAGGATATCTGCCTATAACACTGACCTGAATAAATAGTGTCATTCTCAAAGGAATGAATGGGATGAGGAAATATTTTTTTTTTTTTTTTTAAAGAGGGGGTGAGGAAGGAAATAAACAGCAAAAAGGGGTATTTAGATAAAGGCAAAATATTATCTTATTTTTTATAAATACGACTTCTCAATTATTTATTTTTATCTCGAGTGGAAGAGGTACTGACAATTTGGTGCCTGTGTTGGGGGACAGGAAATGATGAAGAGGAAGAACTTCCTAAGCAAGCCAGAGCACTTACTGATGGTTATCGGCTCATCTGCCTTCTGACTGTTCCTCTCCCTCTACAGCCAGCCTCTCACTTATCACTGACCTGATTCAGAGCATAGGAAAGCTCCCCTTGAGGCTTCCCGTCCTTCCCTTTCATTCAGGCCTGGATTGGCTGGAAGAGCCTCAGCCCCAGCCTCTGCAAGCCATCAAAACATGACCACTGAGACTTCCACCAGCCTGCTGTTCTGTCTTGGTCTTCAGCAGGCGGATCTTCTCAAGTCCTGTGTGTTTTCATCTGCTCTCTCTCAGGAAATACTGCCTTTCTTTCTTTCTCATGTTTATTCTTAAACCCATCTTGATGAACCAGCTGGCTTCATAACTATGCTGAATGAAGTCAGAAGGGCTGTGTAGCATTTGGTCTGTGTTTGAGGGCTCTAGCTCTTGCCTCAAGTCTTGCTGCTCTTCTGCCTGAAGATTATAAAACATAATGTCAGTTTTTATGTATTATTAAACTTACATCTATAAATCATTGACCCATGGTAGCTTTTTATTACGTATTCCATCATCTGCTTTGATGCATTGTTGTTGTCACACAGAGGTGGGTAATGATGACTCGGCTTACTAGTGTGGTAATGCACTTAAAGCTTGGAAATCTGTCACTGATGGCATTTCAACACAGGCGCTACAAAGCAGAGATGAATTTTTAAAGTATTTGCTGTCAACCTATTTGTCTTAAAATTCTTGTGTCTTCTATTGTGGTTTCGTAAGGGTTTGGATACTACTGAATTGTTTGATGGACAAATAGTTGTGTTTCAGGAACTCTGTGTTGCAGGACTTGCCATCACAAAAGTGGGTGGTGGTCCTCAATTTGTAGTGCTGAAGGTGACCTCTAAAATGCTTGTGCTCGTCGGGCCTTCCTAACAAAGCACCAATATTGCATGCATTTCTATGGGCCTGGCATTTCCAGTCTTAAAGCACAGTGGAACACAGGCTGATCATCACAATTTATTATGTATTGTATCTATTATTTTTCTTCTTTTTTACAGCCCTTCTGTATGCAACCATTTTTGGTAATGTGACAACCATATTTCAGCAAATGTATGCTAATACAAATAGATATCATGAAATGCTGAACAGTGTCCGGGACTTTCTAAAGCTCTACCAGGTCCCTAAAGGACTGAGTGAACGTGTGATGGATTACATCGTTTCCACCTGGTCAATGTCCAGAGGAATAGATACTGAAAAGGTAAGTAAATTAAACTGCAAGGAAACAAGTCACATCCTGAAAGTATTTCATTAAAATAAACAGGAGGTACTTTCTTAGTAAAGAAGACAAATATTCTTTAAATAGTTCCGAGCAGTAGCTTCCCTTAATTTTAAACTTTCAAACACAGTATTTCACCTGTTCTGTCATACTGACATATGTTGGTGGTAAAATTATGTATGTGTTGCTGGTGATATGTCATGAAATAGTGTAAAAATTAAAGAGCTTGGTTTTCAGTAAACAAAGAAAATAACTAAATAAAAAGTTCCGAGTTCTAACACAACCTCAGAATTTCTTTAAATGAGATTTTTTTGCAATGTTTCCATTGTGTGAGGTTGTTTGCAGCTCTGTGGGCCTGAATACAAAGGAAAATTTGTTTTGCCTTCATAGAATTTGAACGTAATATTTTGTGTGCAGGTTAAAGATATTAATGAAAGCTGGAAGTCATTACTGTAATAATAATGAATTGTTTGAAATCTGCCTTATGTGAGGCAAATGTTATCATCCTAGTTCATTGAATTTACAAGTAAATTCCCATTTTTGTCTTTTAAACTAATAAATGGCCCTTTACCAGAACAAATGTACAAAGGTAACTACTTGCCACTTTCATATGGGTTGCCAGCTTTTATGGAGATAGATACTTGTTTTTCTTCTGCTTGTAAAGAGATGTGATTTGTGGGGTGGTTAATTCAGGAAATCATACCAATGCTCCGGTCACCAGCCTTCTGGTTGGCAGCTTAATTTAGTATTCTAAACTGTAGATGATGCAGTTAAAGAGCAAACAATCTCATTTCTGTCTAGCTGTTAAAGCATCGTTATGAAAGAGTAGAACAGATGTGGTCTTGCACTGGGCTGTCTGGAGACCAATGGGTACACAGGGTACTGTTTGCTTTCCTAAACGGCCTTTAGCATATCTGCCATTTATATCCCAGACCATGATTCTGGAAAGCACTGTCTGTCATACTAGCTTTCAGAAAGAAACGGTATTTTAGTACTGGATAGTGCTGATTAGAAGCTACTCTGCCTGTTTTCTCACAAAATATCTTTGTGCGGGGTTATGGGTTTGAGGTAGGTACATTTTGGGAAGATGGAGAGACAACATCTGAGGATACATAGTGTAATGAATGCTGGTGCTTTCATTCACCCCCGAGTACAAGCTCCTCTCATCATTTTAACAAAGCAACAAGAAAAAATTGCTATGTAAAACATGTTTGTTTTAGCTTATCGTCAAAGTTCATTTTTGGCTTCCTCTGATAAGGAGAGAAATGCTTTAAGAAGGCCTTCGGAGACAGCAGCATAACCAAACCAAGCACAACTCACTGTGGCCTTTGAGAATTATCTTAATAAACAGGAAAAAAAGTCTTCAATTATCGGGACATCAAAGAGCATAATATGGTGTTGATTTCAATAACTGGTGTGTTCATAGCTGAACTGCCAGTAGTGATGACTGTAAAACCAAGAAATCAACTTTCATCTGCATAGCAAGAGCTAGCAAATATAAGACCAACTAATGGCTGTGCCAATCTGTAAACTCTCAGGTCTGAGCTCTGTTGGTTTGACGTCTGTGTGTAACTTCTAGGATGTCATGCAATGAATAAAACATGTATTGCTCCTGTGACAGAACAGTGGTAGTTGTGCTGCTGTGTAATGCAGTGCAGCTTTCTACAGATGAGGCAGGTATTTAAAGATGAACTTAGCATAGAATCAATCTTCTCACTATTTTGTAGGCCACAAATTTGTCAGTTCAGTGTTAACTACAGGCATGCCAAGGAGTGAATAATCAGCTAAATGCAAAGTCTGTAAATCTAGAAAATGCCAGTATAAGAAAATTTAACCAAGAGCTGCTGAAAGATTCTAAAATTAATCCATGAAGATATGTTTCTTACCCCCCCATATAAATGAAAGTCTTCTGCCGTTTGTCTGTAGCTCTCAAATGTCTTTAATCGCTCTTTAGTTTTATGAAATCTGGAGACCGCTTCTCTAAATGGAGAACAGAAAATGAGTTAACTTCCTCTTAGACTGGGAAACCAAGGAGTTTTTGGATAAGAGCCTCATTTTAAATATTCAGGCTTTCTTACTCCTATTTCTACTAAAACAACCCTTTTTGTGCATGATATTCAAGTAACTGTTAAGTGTATGTGTGTGTGATTCCAGTGCCAAATTTTGGCAAGCATCTGCAAATACAGGATGTTTTTGTTGCCAGAGTAAATGAGATAATTGCAGTGACAACTATGGCTGCTGCCTTTGTTCCACGTTAAATGCTGGTCTTGCTCCCCAACCCGTTCTTGTCAGCCTGGAAAACTGAGAACTGGCAGGTTTGGCTGCTGCTTTCTGTGGGGCAGGGAGAGGTCATCCATGAGTGCCCTACAGTTAAGCACTGTAGAAATGTATCTCTTTCAGAAGTAATATCTGTAATAGCAGGTCTGCTTGGAGGTGGGCCAAAGATGATGATGTTGGTGGTAGAGTCATTTGCCTTTGGAGTAGCAAGTGTAATATGTAGAACCAGTGCCGTGCACAGAGTTACGAGCTTGATTCTCTGCGCAGATCTTGCGCAGAGGCCCGTTGTGAGGTGTAGGCATAGCCATAGTGCTTCCTATGTTACCTTTATGTTTTCCAGGAGTGTTTGCCTTGAAGCAGTCATCTCTTTCCATCCAGGAAAATGTGTGGGGGTAATGCTTCTTAATTGGACAGAATAATTATTACTGAGGAAAAAAAAAAAATGAAGCAAACTTACACTACTCAATGTTTTTCTCAAATAATACGTTCTGAGATGTACTTCACAGACTATTCTCCAAGGATTTTGTCATCCCAAAACCCTGTTAATGTTACCAGTATTTCCAGTGTTTTTGCTAGGAACTTTTAATCTGTATGTGCAGTAGTAATTCTGTATTCTTTCCACTTGGCTGTCTGTATTATATTAAAAACCTTCAGAAATGGCCCTGACTGGTACCCGCTGTGCTAAGCGTCAGTTTGTGTACCCTTAGGAGCACACATCGCGAATTGCTGTGAGGAACATTGCATTTGGAAGATCAAAAGTTGCCCAACACAGTATCATACCTTAAAGTCCCTTCCCGCGTGAAGAAAAAAACCTGTTACTGCCACTAAGGGGTGAATTTGAATACCTGCAAATCTCAATATTACGAGTTAATGAAACTTTTAACAATTTTTTTTTTTTTTTTTTTGCAAAAGGGATATGAGATTACACTTCCCCTCTATACAATATTTCTCTCACTTGGAACATATAATTTGTGCAGGCGTTTCATGGAATCTGCCTATGAAAAGAGTGACCTACCCACTAGAAACAATCCTTCAGGAAGCTTTTCTCCACCACTTTCTGTACTGCTGTGCTCTTAATTTTATTGTCTTAAAAACCTGAGGCCTTATCCTGGTAATTCAATATCCAGCAGAGCATGTTGCTGAAATGAAAATATTATTTTCTTTCAGGTATTGTGGCTCATGCGTGTAAATAATAGAAAAATAAATGTATGGACTGAGATAAGAAATTTTATATGAAGAAGAAAAGTAGTTCTTAAACCCTGTGTAGTGAACTAGGGATAATTGCATGGCACACATAAGCCATGTACAGGAATTGATTGCCTAATTTCCTTCTTAGGTTTTGCAGATATGTCCTAAGGACATGAGAGCAGATATCTGCGTGCATCTGAACCGCAAGGTTTTCAAGGAGCACCCAGCCTTCAGGCTGGCGAGCGATGGGTGCCTTCGAGCGCTTGCCATGGAATTTCAGACAGTGCACTGTGCCCCGGGAGACCTGATCTACCACGCCGGCGAGAGCGTCGACAGCCTTTGCTTTGTGGTTTCGGGGTCTTTGGAAGTAATCCAGGATGATGAAGTTGTTGCTATATTGGGTGAGTTTCACAGCTGATAATATGCGTTGTGCACAAATACAGATGCATAGAGCATTCTTTAAAAAGCTTCAGTCAAGTTAGGTTTGCCACAGCCTGGTAAGGTATATTTTAATGAACTTGTCAGCTGTGGTGTTAGATGTTTATTGTTTGGAAAAATCGAAAGAGAGAGAAAAAAAAACTTGCTTAATGTCATGCAGGAGCATTGCATAGAGTCATTGACTTGTCTTTCCTGTTCCACATAGGTAAATAGGAAAGGCAATCATCTCATCTCCACATTGCTTCAACCCTATTTCTTCTGGTCAATGGAAGAGCATTGGGATCCTGGTCATTCTTGGGGTTCTCCCTCTCTGGCCACATCTCTTTTCATTAGAAATTCCATTGAGGACTTCAGAAAACTTATTTTTGAAGTGCCTGGCTTTCCTGCCTCCCTCCCACCCCCCGATAATAATCCACTTTTGCTGAAAATTTTCCAATTAGCTTTATTTAAGATCTCCTGTTGAAATAAATATTTATCTCTTTTAAAGTCAAAATAATATAAAAATTTAGAGCCGATTTGTGTTAACTTGGAGTGACAGCTTTAGATTGGAGGCATTAAAAAGAAGCTGATAGTGGTGTGAACAACATTCTGAGGCAAAGCTAGGAGAAAAGAGTGTGATAATCCAATAGATGTACATGAATCATAGGGTGGCTGGAGCATTGAGGAGGTGATACTTTATCATTTGATTCTGTCGGACCCTTTTGTAATAAGGTAAATTCTCACGGTGGCTTAATCCAGTACCTGTCACTCATAGAAGCCTGGAAAAAGAGAAGACGACAGCTTGGTAATCCTACTCTTTCTGAACACATTCACCCAACTCTCATAAAAGGAATGAGAGAAAATGAGGGGGCTAATAAATATGGTGAGTTCAGTTTTTCTCTACTTCTCAACAGGATTGCATATATAGCATAAGGTGAATATAGCGTCCTGGAGAATCAAGTTCATAATACTTTGTGCGACACAAGAAACTAAAAAGGTAAAAAGTAGGGCAATAACTGATTCTCTTTTGTTCTGGAATCACCTGTGCTGTTGAGTGCTATATGATACTAGCAACTTCTGCTTTTCTAAGTTGCACATCAAGAACTTGCTACCTTTTGCCATGTTGAACTCTCATGAATTAACATGGCAAATGTAAAACAAACTAAAGCCTCTCAGTTTGTGTCACCTTTTATTCAGTAATGTGTCCTCCCGTGTCCGTCACAAGAAAACTTCAAAAACTTCTTGCTGCTCTATTCAATCAGTATAGGTAAAAAGCATTGAAATAGGATTTTAAAAATATCCTTTAAAGATACGAATTTTCTCCTCATCTTTACCAGTAACTTCTGTGTTTTATCATAATACTCACTTGAAAAAAAACACTCGGCCTAGATTCCTGGAGAAGTCAGTGTTAAGGATACCCGAACCCTTAATCTCTGCTGCTGCAGCGTGATAGCTACAGATAAATGAGGTTGATCCCTTGGTGTCTGAAAGAATAGAAATATTTTATTATTGCTGTCCTCCTGGGACAGTAGCTATTGATCCTCTTCCCTCCACACCTTTATTTTTTTGGAATTTGGAGTCCGTTCTCTGGCTTGCACTAAAGTTGATGAGCTCTGTCATTTTCTTTGTGAATATTGTAATCGGAGAGGAAAGTAAAATGAAGTGGGATCTGTTTGTGATTTTGTGTGTGTACCTTCCTCCCCCAGGCTGTGAAGCCTTCTGTTGAAGGTTTCTCTATCCTGATAAGAAATGATGTGGTTAACTAAGTTTTTCACTATTCTAAATCAGTTGGACTTGCTTCTCCTTCAGCATTGCATAACGTAACCACTACATTACCAAAGGATGCTGCAGGAGATGGGTCAGGATTTCCTCCCTAACTTCTTTGTAGTCTCAGTTTTCTTATCTGTAAAATAGCAATGATTTTTTTTTTTAATTTCGTGTCCAGCTAAACTTGTCAAGTTCTTGATAAAAGTACACCAGATAAAACGAGGCACTACAAGGAAAAAAAATGTTTCTTGTACAACGTAGACATTATGATTGTTGCTTATCATTCAGCCAGAACAGCCTACGCCATAAGTTTTGTTTACCAATCACAACTAAGCATAGCTATGAACATCAGGCATGTAACGGCTAACCATGTGAGGAATTCTGTAGAGTGATTTCAGTTAACAGATATGTTGGAGAGACCGTAATCTTCTCTTGGACATTCTTGAAATAAAAATAAAAAATAAGTGCATGAATTATTCAAGGTGAATTATTTGCTCAGCTTTAGCTGTCACTTAATAAAGCAACCTTTGCAATTTGCAATGTAGCCTGTACCTTCCTTACAATAGAGAAATAAATTGCATCTCTAAATTAGTCTCTGACTGCTGTACAGCATTACATAAACCAAAGGCAAACTACGCTTAACCCTTAAAGGATCCAATTCATATGAAACATTTTCAAGTTCTGAAATCATTTAGCCTTGCAGACTAGCATATAAAAGTGTATTGTGTAGCCCTGGAATTTGGAGTGTATTGTGTACACTTGCATAACATCCTTCCAGATCAATTCTGTGTAATACCCAAGAGACAGGTATATTTTCAGTTCAGGCTTATGTTCTTATAACAAAGCACTGACTTTGATTGACTTGGATTAATATGAGTACTAAGTTGGAAAAAATTGCACACAGGTCAGCAGTGAAAAAATGTACATTTTTTTGTGTCCCCTAAGATTGCCTTCCCCATTAATCTAACTTAGAGACAAACACAAAAATGAATAAATTTAAAAAAAAAATCTTTGCAATGTTTACAGTAAAAATTTAAAGAAATTGATGCATTTTGTATGAAGTTTGATTTGTTGGGATGGAAAATGTATTTTTGAATTCTATCCAAAATTTCTGCTGAAATAAAGAAATTACTAATGTTCATGCAACACAATCTTTGGATTTGATGTGTCAAAGAAACAAAACCATAAAAGTAGAAAATTACCTTTAAGGCAGATGATTTATTTATTTGTGATTCATTCTAATACAAATGGGTCAGAAAAGGAAGACATAGCAAGAAAAGCCACTGTATTACTATCGTTTTCTATGTTAATGTGTAAGTATATGAGTGGGATTATGTGTAAGTGAATATTAGCTAGTGGGAAGCTGCTTGGATGAAATAGAATTCTGTTTTCTGTAGTTCACTGTTCTTCCATTTACACTGTTGTTATTGCGTAGGGTGAAGCGCTGACATACACTCAGCACTTTGTGGAAGATAGAGACAAATCACACAGTCCCTGCCCTGAAGATAACTGAGCGAAGCACAGGTCATGCAGGACTTCCATTAAGAGACTATTTTCAACTTGGCTTTGCTTTTAACTTTTCTAAGCCTTCCCATTTGGGCTGATGCTGCTTTATCCATCTGAGACTGACATATCTCTTTGAACTACTCTTGCTTAAAAACTTACCCATTTATCCAAATGTGGTTAGAGAAAATGGGTTGTTTTGTCATTGTTAAAAACAACCAACCATTTACATGCACTTCATTTGGCAGCTCTAGTTTGTCTGCTTTGGAGCAGACCTTTCAGGCTGAGCCACTGGCCATCTGAAAACCTGACTTTATTGCAGGTCTTTGAAAAGTTAAAATTTACTCATGCTCAGGAGAGATTTGCTACATTTTAGTTTAAAGAATATCTTCTTAAAAGATTCCTTCTGAATTAAATGTGTTCCAGGCAGGGACCATAAGGTCTGGCTGAAGCTTTCTTTGAAATATCAGAGGAAAAGGGATTGTAATAGAAGCGTGAAATAAGCCTGCATAGCTAGTCGTTGTTTCTTAATTTAGGGAAGCTTGAAGACCTAAACTGTCTTTCAATGCACTTTTTATATTTTTTTACACTATGAAGGTACACATTTCCTTAGTGCAGCGTGAGAAAGTAGATTGTTGCAGTAATCAAGAAGCTGATGTTAGAAGTCCCGCTGAGCAGATGATATGCCATTGCTGGGGCTAGCAGCGTACTTCCCTGGTCCTCCAGCCTTTTAGTCTGGACCTTTTTAATCTTTCCTCACCATTGCTAGAGGAAGTGCTAGTTCTTGTGTTATATCTCCAATTGCATGTGTGCATGGGAAATTTAACGAAAATTATAGAAAATAATGGCATAGTAGCAAAACTAACTTTTTGTAAGTATTTTCTGAAAATACACAGAAAGACTGGGTAGGAGGCCTTGTTAGAAAAGGATTTATATTGTATTAATATGTATGTGCAAATATCTGAAAGACCAAGAAAATCATTTTTGATCTTACTAGAAAATAATAAATTCTAAGTTAGGTATGACTGACATAATTGTACTCCAGGATTGAACAGAAAATCCCTCTTCTCTAGGAAATCTGAAGGAAGCAAGTGATTCTTGGACCCAAGTTGGTTCCAACCCTTTCTGTTTGAAATTGGGGTAATCTTTGAAATTTAGGAAAACATTCCAGTAAAAGGCTAGAGAGGCAGGAGAAGACCCTTGAAATTAGGGTGACAAGCTTTTTTTTCTAGATAGCAGTGGGGAAAGCAGTATCTTGTCCTTAAATTTTCAGACTGCTGCAAAGTTTGTCAATTAATGACTCCCAGAGGGCCTGACTGAGCAGCAGGTCTCCACTTATGTGGATTGTTCAGAGTTGCTGAAGTGGTCTTGATGATCCTTGCAAGGGGGCCCTGTGTGTATGGATGGTAAGACTGGAGGTTAGTCTTGCAGATTTGATCAGAGACTGGGAGCCTTTAAGCCTTTATTTAGCAATTAAAAAACAAAGCCTTGAAAACTACTGTAGTCTTCAAAGCTGAGCAATGGATGAGAAAAATAACATTTACTAGAAGGTTTAGTTAAAAAGGAAAACGAACCCCCCCACACAAAACAGTTTATTCCAAGAGTAAAGCAGTTTATCCCAAGTGTTGCATCCCAGCTGTTCTGCATTTATTATGTTCTTGCTATCCTTATTTGAGCTAAAAACTTTCAAAAGAATAAACTTTTTTATCGACTT